ATGATGTTTCTGAGGTCATCTGGAGATCCCCTCTGAAAAGGTTACGGAAACAGTCAGTTGGACACCCACTCTAGCTATATAAAGTACATCTAAACAATATAGATAGATAGATAGATAGATAGATAGATAGATAGATAGATAGATAGATAGATAGATAGATAGATAGATAGATAGATAGATAGATAGATAGATAGATAGATAGATAGATAGATAGATAGATAGATAGATAGATAGATAGATAGATAGATAGATAGATCTTTTACAATTTTACAAATTTGAGTGGATTAAACGTAAAACAATTAAGTTGTGCCAGAAAAGCAATAATTGTGTTGATTCCGCTCAATTTAAATAAGTGGTTTAAACAAGCAGCAAAAATAGTGACAATAGTATCAGTAGAAAAACTATGAGTGTGAATAGATAGATAGATAGATAGATAGATAGATAGATAGATAGATAGATAGATAGATAGATAGATAGATAGATAGATAGATAGATAGATAGATAGATAGATAGATAGATAGATAGATAGATAGATCATCTCTCCAAATAACAATCGTTCATAACATTTTTGTCTCGATCAGAATTCCACCAGGATATGAACTGTAATTGGTCTCGGGAGTGAAAACAGAGCTGTAGATCTAGTGGTCTTAAATGGCCAAAACAAATAGATAGACTTTTTACAACTAGTAGTCAGCATGCATGAAACTGCTCCGATCCAGTGGACCAAGCAGGGCTGCATGTTTGAGGACAAAAAGCAAGGGATCAAATGAACACCTGTCTTCTTCCCTTTTCTCCCTTTCAGATGGGGCTCAGTGTAACAAGATTCCCGCTCATTAATAATGAAGAGTATGCATAATATATCAGTCATCTTGAATGGACGGTTCTTGTGAACTTCACTCCCACAGTCTGTAAAGGTCATATGTTTTTCAGTGTGAGATTAAATGTAAAAGTGACGCATCAAGTGCCTCTTATTTTCTAGCAGCTCTGTCTAACACAGTAGGTATTTGATATATAAAGTAAAAATGTGCACTAAAAGGCTAACTCAAATTTACATCATGACTTACAATAGAAAGCAAAACTGTTCATCCTTTTCCATCTGAAAAATACCTAAGTGTTTATATGTTTCCAACTCAGTTTTAAAGTGATATATTTATATATTTTCCTTCAGCTTAGAGCCTTTGTTCATCAAGGGTCGCAACAGGGGAATGAACCGCCAACTTATCCAGCATATATTATACACAGCAGATGCCCTTCCAGCTGCAACCCAATACTGGGAATTAATAGTTGTTGATAGTGATACTTAATCCAAAAAATAATATTATTCTCACTATTTACTGCCCCTCAAATGGATTCAAACCTTTAAAAGTTTCTTTCATCAGCTAAACACAAAAGAAGATACTCTGAAGATAGTTGAAAACATTTAACCACTGACTTCCATCATAGGATTACCAAATACTATGCATGTTAATGGTTTCCAACATTTTTCAAAGTATCTTCTTTTGTATTTTACAGAAAAATATATACATAAAGGTTTGAAAGGATGACAAAGATCATTTATGACTGAACTATTCCTTCAACAAAGGTTGTATTCTACTCAACACTGACCTCTGTTGACAACATTGTTTAAAAACCCTTAGATTACGATTGATATATACTGTAGAATAAAAGTTGTTTTTGCCTAATTTTCTCCCTGAGGTAAAGGCATCGAACACAAATAGCTTCGGATCTAGATCTAGTAATTAATTTGCACATTATAATCAACCAGTATCATATCAATAAACCATGTGAGACTATACGAGGATATTGTCATGGTAGACTGCCATCTGGTGTTCGACCAAAACAACCGTAATGTCTCATTCACAAACTAATCGACCAGACTGACTAAAAGCCAGACTGAGACATTTGAACAGTCAGTGACATTACAATTTACTCCCATTCACCTAAAAAAGGGTCAATAATTTTAAATGGGATGATATATGAAGCTGGCTGAGACTGTCCAGACTAATCCTCGTGATTAACGACTAAAACAGCCATCCCTTTAAAATCAGCTGTAATGTAGTGCCAGAAAAAGATTGAACTTTAAATGATAAATCACCTCATTTACTTTATTGTATGTTAATGTTCTCTGGATCTAAGGCAAGTGCGAATCTAATCAATAAACTAATTGTGTCCTCGATCAATCTGGTAGTTTCTATTGTGAATGTTAATGTTTTTTTCAATCTGATCACGATGCTGATTTTTAATAAATGAGAAAATGTATTATCTGTAATGCAATATCAATATCTAAAGGTGCTAATACTTCCAGCATGCCACATAAAATTATACAATTTTGACATGGACCATTTCCATTGTTGTTCCCCAGGAAAATGGTGCAGATGGAAACTTGACATGACATATATATATATATATATATATATATATATATATATATATATATATACATTAGTATATATATATCACATTAGTAGCAGTCTTCAGGCAGAGTGCCTCAGTGCCCTAGCAGTGCCGATATACAGCCATATCACGATGCTATGAGTGTGATGTTGCATTTATCCAACAGTTCAACAACATAATCGTATATATAAAAAAGAAAAGCAAACTCGGACAGTCTCAAAAACCACTTTGTAAAAGGAACTGCTTTCTTCCACCATTCGCATGCAGCTCGTCAGAACAGCAGAAACTTTTGCTCATTATCAAATGTCAATTTAAAACTAGTATTTAAATTATAGCGTAATGTCTGAAGCAATGACAAAACAGGTAATTTTGCTCACATTTCAAGATTATAAGGCTGAACGGCATGAAATGCCATTAATATACAGGGGATTTCACAAAAATTAACCCTGAAAAAGCCAAAGCATAGCAAACTACTAGATTATTATGGTATAAATTTAGCAATACAAAATACAAAAGAGAAAGATCGACTAATCCCATGGTGACACTAGAGCTTGAGCATGCAAACTTCTGTTGTACAGCGCTGCGAAAAGGGGCAGAATTAAACAAGATGAGTAGATGTTAAAAAAAGCTAGCTCCATATTTTACACTTCTGTCCAGAGAGATCATGTTTTGATTTTTAATTGGTCTCATGAAGTCAGAGTCAGGTCAGAGTTTACTAAGCTAAGTTGCGCACAAGCTGTGTATTCAGTTTAATGCATTCGCATGCATACTGTATGAATGGAAGTCTATGGGGTGAAACGTCCAGTGTGACCGCAGCTTTAGAATGTCACTTACCTGTTTTATGATTTGTTCAGCTGTAGTTTAAAATTTATGCTGAGAAACTGTTGAGTTTTTCTCCTTCTATGGGTGTCAAACTCAGTTCCTAGAGGGCCACAGCCCTGCACAGTTTAGTTCAAAACCTGCTTCAATACACTTACCTTGATTAAAAAACTAAACTGGTTAAAAACAAGTCTGCAGGACTCGATTAGTTTGTTCAGGTAAATTCAGATAGGGTTAAAGCTAAAGTGTGCAGCTGTGTGGGCAGAGTAACACACAAAAGTGAAGAGGCTGTATAAGTGCTGATATTGCGGAATATCGCATTTTCTACCAGCCATTCAGATTTGAGAACCAGACAGAACTGTTGTGTGTTGCGTTTGTGTGTGTGTGTGTGTGTGTGTGTGTGTGTGTGTGTGTGTATTGCAGCTGGAAGGGCATCTGCTGCATTAAACATATGCTGGATAAATTGGCGGCTCATTCTGCTGCCCGATTAATAAATGGACTAAGCCGAAGGAAAGGAAAATGAACAAATGAATATACATTGCATTACACATATGTAGGTTTTTACTATTTTTTATAATATATGTAACATATTATGCCTGACTAATTGAGAGCTTGCATCATAAAGGCTGCATCCAGTTACTTTTGGACTAATAAGGTATGACTGACATTCCAATATTTCAAACTCAGATAGCTGCAGTTGGGTTCCTTTCAGAGGGTACAGAGATTTCTGACTCAAAATTTTACTATATTTAGTAAAAGATTACTATATTAACTACTATATTATACTATAAAATATAAGTAAAAAAAACTTAAAGAAATCCTAATAGAATTTGTAATAATTTTAATTATTGCAGTCACTTCTGAGTGCTCAATAATTTCTAACCAATAACAATTGATAAAATAATTAATATTAGCAATAATTGTATGTAGGCCTATATGGGTTAATGACATTTAAGTGTCTGTATCAAATAGTATATAACTTGTAAATGTTTCAAAAGCACATTGGAAAAATTGTTGTAAAATAATATAAATATATTATTATAATTTAATGGCTAAAAGTTAAAATGGTTAAAAGTTGATTGTAAAAATATTATTTGTAAGTTTCAATAGCTTTTGCACCAGCAATGAATATGACCGCATATTAACTATTATACCACAAATATATCATTAACCTCACAGCTGAACTAAAGTTATGGCGGTAACGTTTAACAAACTAGAACTGAATTTCATCCAACTACCAGTGCACAAAATGTTCCTCAAAACAAAACTCATCTGTTACCTCTTGTGCCTCTGTTCATGTGCTTATCCGGGTACTTACACTTTGTCCAATCAGAGTCGAGCAGAAAAAATTGCACTAATACTTTATTTATTTCTGTGCACTATTATTGTAGATGGCAATTACATCTCACGATTAAAGATATTCGAGAATATATCTACGTTTAAAATCCTACCTCATCCATGATTATATAAGGCAACGAAAAGCGCGGGAGTGTGTGAGCACACCGTAAAAACGTGATGTTACATTACGTGGGCGGATAGATCTGACCAATAAACTGCGTAAGTGCTCCTTTGCGTCAGCGAGTGGGCGGAGTCGACTGATGGCTGACTGACGGTTCACGGGGTGAATTAAAATTGACATTCAGCTAAAGGACAACAAACTCGCAAATATTCGACGCTCTCAATGTTATTTAGATAGAGAATATGCGCGTACATATAGATATACTCTAAAATACGCGTTTACTGAATGTTTTGGGAGGAAGTTGAACCGAACGTCTGTCGTCGTTTTGTTTTGTTTTGCCTTCGCATGTTGTTGACGTGCGCGTGCTTTCTCGTCTGTATTTTCCTACGCGTGTGTTATATTAATCCGCCAGTTTTACAGTAACGTGTTATGCGTATATTTTAAACACTAAATTTACTTTCACCCTGTTATCGTGTCAGTCAGTCACAGGGTGTGTAAAGCAGCTATATGAATTTTGTGATTCAGCATTCAAGAGCGCAGAGATTCAACTTCAACATGGGACAAGTTTTTCTTGAGCAAGGCTAAATCAAACGCTTCGCCAGATCTTACTTATATCTGATTTTGGGGGGGTTTACGAAGTTTTGGGAGTTGCTGGAGCTCTCGTGATCTCAGAAGGGGCTGCAATACATTTGGAGACATGGTTGTCAATACGGTCCACTGGTTCAGGAAGGGTTTGAGGCTCCATGATAACCCTTCATTGCGGGACTCTATAAAGGGAGCCGATAATCTGAGATGCGTTTACATACTGGACCCCTGGTTTGCCGGATCGTCCAATGTGGGAATCAGCAGATGGAGGTGAGTTTGCTTTTTGAGCGGGGCACGTGTGCGACCAGAGGGGATCAGACATTACTTGTGACTAGAAAGCTGTCTGTATTTGGGATTGTTGTGCTTCATATCACTAGTGAATAAAGTCATTGGTGCTCTAGTTGCTGCCTCTGGATTAACTAGTGCAATGCAATAATTTCTGCAGCATGTTGATTTTTTAAGTAATGTTTTTCTTTCATTTTTTGTACCACTATGATATTGCTTCAAAATATGAAACAGAAATGTTTTCATTCAGAGCACTTTTTGCATAAAAGTGATCATCTTTTCAGACTTGTTCGTATTCCTTTTTCAACAAACCTTTTTTAAACAAAAAGTGTATAAGGGGTTTCTTTTTATATATTCATAATATTAATATAAATCAATATTTGGTGCAATAAGCTTGATTTTCTGTCACAATAAATAAAAATGTTATTTTGGATCAGTTATTACGATATATTAATCAGTTATATAAACCAGTTATTTGACGAATATTAATATTGACATTTTACATTTTATTCTGACCAGTGCTTATTAAAATGTGTAAAATAATAAGTGTTCATACAAATTTTAACTTGTTAAGGATTTACTGAATTGTGTCGCCAAGTGTTTTGAAAAAGTGGCATAGCAAAAACATTAAATGACAATGAATTTGTTTTTGTTATTATATAATTATTGTTAAATATGCAGACAAGTATTTTTTGTTTGCATAAGTCATTGTTACTATATTTTCTGCAAGTCCTATTGAAATTTCAAATATCAAAAATAAACAAATAAACAAATGAATATCTATGTATGTTTGCATTTTAGGGCTGCAAGGTATTAGAAATATCTGACATTGCAATATTTTGTTTTGCTGCAATATGTATTGCAATATTAATATAATTAGCTCTATTTGGAAAGATTCTATTGACTGGGATGATCAAGACTTTTTCTGTGGTGTGCATCTGCATAAATTCTATTAAATTAAAACCAAAAATAAATAAATAAGTAGTCCTTTATGGTTTTGGGGTAGTCTAACGGTATTCAAGTACAGAAATTTAACAATCAATTGTAAAATATTATGGTCATTGTATAAATAAAGATATTATTTAACTTTGTAATTTTTTTTATTCTTTTAATTTTTAATAAATAGTTCCTGCGATCTATCTATCTATCTATCTATCTGTCTGTCTGTACATATGACGTACAAACATATTTACATATGTACGTATGTATGTATATATATGTGTGTGTGTGTGTGTGTGCATTATATATGATCATAATAATAATATATTATTATGATAGGATTATTTAGTATAAAGATTAAAAGCTGATTTGAGTGCAGATCTGCATTTGCATTGTGACAATGCTAAAAGACTGTCTTGTTTACCTATTCTAATTTTGGTTGCTGGTTAAGAAAAGCCCTTCTTTGTGTGTCCATTTGAAAGACCATTTGATTGACTTTTTATTTAAGCTTACACTGTAAAAAATTTGACCTTAAATTCACAGTAAATTACTGGCTAATAATTGCATTACTTTCACAGTAAATTACTGTATGTAAATTCACAGTAAATTATTGTGAGGTAGTTCACAGTAATTTACTGTGGTTTTGTCACAGTAAATTATTGTGAAATTACAACCATATATTGTAACTTTACAGTAGATAATAAAGTCTGTTACTGTGATTTCACAGTATTATCTTGTGGAATTAACTGTATTTTACTGTGAATTTGCAATATGATTACTGTGATTTAGCAGTAGATTGCAGTTTAAATACCTGATTTAACTGTAAAGTTACAGTCATATCCCGGATTACTGTAATTTAACAGTTTGGTGCTGTAAAATTTCAAAGCAAATTTAGGTCACACAAAAAGGAAAATTCTATCTTGATTTACTCACCCTCAGGTTGCTCCAGCTCTGTTAAAAATGATTTTTTTTGTTAAACACAGGAATAAAAATATTAAATATTCCTCTTTGTGTCCAAACAACCTGAGGATGCGTAAATGACGACAGAATCTTCATTTTTGGGTGATCTGAGAAGACTCTAAAATCAAAATAAAAACAAACACACATACATTTTACAGATTTATTTAACAGTTTAATGACATCCGTGTAAACATTTCAGAAAACTTTCAAAAGGTGAAGGTGAAGCCTCAAAAAATACTATAAGAACATATTAATAAAAAAAATCTGACATCATATGTAGCATACATATAAAAAGCAGTGCTTCAGAGTGCGCTCTCTCTCTCATTTTATATATATAAATATATATATATATATATATATATATATATATATATATATATATATATATATATACATACACATACATACACACATGAGAGAGAGAGACAAAACTTCTTGCTAAATTAGGCAGTCGTCTATTCAAGGTCAATCATTTCCTTATAATTTTACACACTTGCTGGTTGATGTGTCTTCTCTGCTTCTTGGACTTCGTCTGTCTTCCATCTCCAAACTGGTGCCGAAAAAGCACCTATAAGCAAAAGGGCAGACAAACAGTTAGCTTCATACAACACTACTGGGACACTACAGAGCAAAATTACTGTTAGCTCTGTTTGAACATGCTGACAATACTGTAGCTCAGTCAAACTGCAATCATTTAAACAAAAACATCTGAAAAACATTTCCATCACAAACACACAATCAAGAACAGTCCAACAACAAATAGTGGTTTTAATGACCAAGGCAGAGCATTTTAAAACAGTTGATTTGATTTACACCTTCTGTTTACAGACTATAATCTAATGCTGGGTTCACACTTATTGCAAAGGTAACACATGCATCACAGCACTTGCTCTTGAATACTAGCTGGATGTTTCTTGCATCAAGCTAATTTTTCATGATTTGAATATTAGTAAAATTTGGCAAAAAAAACTTGATTGAAGTGATACAGCACTTGTGTTGTATTCATTTCAATCAAGTTTTTTGCAAACATTCAAAATATTTTGAATATAAACGTTTTTTGAGTTTTACTTAATTTGTGCCGCCCAGTAAAAATTTCCCACTATTTATGCATTTGCAATGACTTGTATGTAATCCACTCACCTGAATAGGTAACTTCACATATGGTATAAGAGCCCCATCCTTTTAAAGACAGCTTCCCCTCTGGTCTCCAGCACAGACAAACAAATTGAGTCTGCAACACACCCCTTTATTACAAGGGGACAAGGGGAGTCATGACTTGTGCTCCTATACATTCCTTGTTTAACCCCCCCAAAACAAGCCCTCAGTTACAATATTTATTACCTTAAATTCCAGAGTGCAAAAGGCATCTTCAGCATACTTCAGTTTCAGACCAGATCCAAAGTCAGTTGTGAAATCCAGGTGAGGTCCCATGACCACTCGACCCTCCAATGAATAAGACTAAAAGGGGGAAAGAAGGACTAAATTAGAGGTGTTTGTGAATAATTAAATTTGTTTGTAGAAACAAAGTTGACATTCCATGCTCTGCCTATTAAAAACCAAGCAAACAAACACACATGCCCAGTAAAATTGCTAATAAAAATAAAAACTATAGTTTAAAAAAATCTTTGTCTAATATTTACTATGACTGGAGGTACTGGTGGAACTTCTGGAAGAAGAAAAAGAGTTTGTACAAGAAACTGCTCACAACAAATCTGTGAAAAACCTGACATTAAAAAATCTAATAAAAATGAGGAAGGCATCAACATTACCTTTAATAATCAAGCAAGGGTTGATTGGTAGCATCAGTGTTTCAACATCAGTGACTGAGGCTGCAAAAAAATATGAATATAATAAGAGTAGAATAAGACTCAACCTAACACACGCACACACATAATCTATATATATATATATATATATATATATATATATATATATATATATATATATAGGTTTAGATTGTGATAATGAATTTAGGTTATATTTGTGTGCTCAGAATTAACACTCACCTCACACTTCAGCTATTATCAGTTACACCTGAACACCAAAAAATAAAATCTACAGTTAGTGACAATATACAATTAGTTCTCATTAGTAAATGTTAGCAATGCATTAACACCAGTGAGAAATATACAATAAATACTGTGTTAGTGTTAGTTTAAAAGAATACAACTGAATTGTATTAAGCCTCATTTAATAAAACAGACTTGTTTCATAATGAGTTTAGTTTATTTAACTAACTTAACGTTAACGTTACAGTGAACAATATTAACGTACATGATGGTGAGTAACCGTAACGTTAACTTAAGTGAAGGTCAGAGCTTACCTTAGTCATTTCACCTTTACTTCAGTCTTGTAAAGTTACTGAAACAGAAAATGCAGTTAACAAGAAGTTAATTAAAGAAAATTCCCTTTCTTTTTTCAGGAACTAACGTTAACGTTATGCTAATACCTCAGAAAACACTACAAGCACAATCTGGCATCGTTAATTTCTTGTTTTAAAAAAAGGCGGGCTTAAACCCTGTACGTGCGAGTACAACTAAAGTACTCAGTAAATTCCTGTTAAGTGACATGCACTATACAGAAATACACATACAACAATAATTTTTTTTAGTTAAAAGTCATATTTTAACACTTACCGAGGATGAATCCGTTGGGTGAAGAGACTACGCAGGCGTTGTCTGTGGTGATGGCGCTTGTTGCGGTCGAGTCGAGTCAGTTCTGTTTAATGAATCGGCTCCTTTAAGTGAACAGTAAAGAGTCGAATTCGCCTGAAAACGATTCCTTTTTGTATAATATTGTAAGACGCAGACATATAATTCATTAATATTTCATCATATTGCTTGGTTCGTATACTGCTTGTACACGAATTGCTTGTTGATGACTATGAGCTTATGAACACGTCTGATAAAATATCTGAATCTGATTCATTGTCACACGAGTCCTGAACCGAAGCAGTGCAAAAGTGATATATTGATTGAAATATAAAGTTAATTATTTTCTTCGCCATTCAAAATATTACATATCTCTGACTTTAACAATAAGAATAAAGTTCGTTTGGAGTGTATTGAGAATTATTATTTTTTCCT